TTGGGAAAACATTTATGACCTCATTTCTCTGAAGCATCTAAAAAGAGCTGTTAATTTTTTTAGTTTGTCCAGCTTTTTACTTGTTGTTAGAATAGAGTGGCAACTCCTAAGCTCCTTCTTACATGCCAGACTGGAAACCAGATATTCTGAGTTTTGCGATATGTTTTTAATTAATGGTTTTTTAACAAGTGCTTTGTATATTAAGAATATTAACCTTTGGTTTTACGAATGTTTTTCCCCAATTTGTCATTTGTCTTGAAATTTTGTTTATATTGTTTCTGACGACATAGGAGTTTTAAATTCTTATGCAATCAAATCTTATGAAATTTGCCCTTTTGGTTTCTGATTTTACGGCACGCATTGACAGGCCTTTTCATTATCAAGATTACATTGCCTTCACATGTGTTCTCTTTTTATACTTTCGTGGTACTTTTAGTTTTTACATTTACAGTTCTTATCCATTAAGAATTACTTTTTCCTCAGATTTTATTAAATAGCTAGCTGGCTCTCACAAAATCATTTACTAAATTTTACATCATGTCCCAACTGATGTAAAATTCTACTTTTATCTTAAATACCTATAAACAACTGAGTCTCATTCAAGACTTGACTCTCAGCAGACAAAAACAAAAACCCAGCAATAGAGATAGGCCTCGTAAGGAAGTAGATAGCTGGAGACAAGTGATAAAAGAAGACTAACTTTACATTGTTCACCCTTTCGAATTTTATTCCATGTGCTTTGAACTACCACTCAAAACTATCAACAAAAATTGTTTAAAGTTCTGCTTAGTGGACATAATAGAATTACCAAATATTTCAGTCCCCTGTAAATTACATCATAACAACTCAGCATGTACCTGAGCAATACCTGAAATCATATATCTACCTTGATTTCAAGTAGTTCAAGAACTATGATTTAAATGAACAGCTAAAGTACCTGAAATATGTCTAAATCCTTCATCATTGCAACCAAAGCTACTACCTCATATGTGTAACAGCCTCAGATACGTGCATTCCCTAGACCCAGCCACCGGCAGATGCATTTTGCTTTCTTCATTGAATGTTGGCTAGTAACTATCAAAAACTTATTTAAGAATCTAATCTTTCTATTCCAATACAATCCAATTATGGTATTTTCAATACTATTTCTTTATAATTTGATTCAGATGCCAAAACTGGCCTGTTGTAACCATAATACCATAAAGCACCCTGGCTAACACGTAAGAAACATTCATCTAACCGCAGACGGAAAAACAAGAGATTTTGTCTTTTAAGTTATTCTCTTTAAGATCCTCATGTCATTTTTCTAAACAACTATTAAAGGTAGACTATACTTTTAATAAACTATAAAAGTTAGTCATTTTAGCCTTTCTATACACAAAAATATTTTCAAGCACTTGAAAATACTCCTCCAACAGAAATGGGAAGGTGACCTAGATTCAGTTTCATTAGTATACTCATTAATTATATAGATTAGATACTATCTCTGTACTCTGTAATTCTCTTACTACCTGCTCTCCGAAGTATCTTCCCACTCTTTTTTTCCTAATCAACCAGGTCCTTTAACATGTAGGAGACACATATTCCATGTATCTCCCAGGAACTCTAAAAGTGAAAATGCAGAAGAAAAATCAATTCTTTTTAATAGTCTAATTACCCTTACTCTTTAAAACCCCTTGCATTTGATTATCACAATATTATCATCCTCATTTAACAGGAAACATAGACACACTTGCCAAACATCACATGAATGGCAATTAGAAATAGGTTTACTGATTAGAATGTCCTTTGCCCTAAATATACTGCATCCCACCATGATTAAACACAACACCCAAAGAAAAGAGTCTTTGCAGAACACAGTGAAGGAACCACTCAAATGAATATCAGCAATATGCTTTTTCAAAAGCAACTAAGTTTAGCATTTAAAGAAACAATTTTCCATCTTCTAAACAAGAAATGGTCTCAAGTATGCCAAAAGAGACCACCCTTTAAAAGGCAGCAGGTCATGTATTTCCTTTTCTTCCATGTCTCCGAGCCTTGCCTTACACGATGAAGCACTAATCTAATGGCCATCTACTACCAGATCTCAACTATCAAGGCACAGCCCAGTACACCCACTACCAAAATCTGGGTTCTTCTCACGTAAGGCAACTCCTCAGATGAAATTACAGTCTGTTTAGACTTAAGAATTCTCAACCAAATCAGGCTTGATGTTCCCCTTTCATAAAATATTTGCCAGCTTCTGCTTTATCACCCAGAAATGAAATTAAAAACAATCTCCCTACAGACTTCAAACAACCCCATGTATCTATCCTAAATAAAATATAGATGGAAAAGTGAAATAAAAATCATTTAAAATAAGGTATGTATTTCAGCATGTTAATCTTGAAACAAAACTGAACTAGAAAACATACAAGAGTAATTACCAGCTAACCATGACAGCTATGAATGCAAAGTACTTTGTGACACAATTTTCCAAAACTGTAAACAACTCCTGATCAAATTGTGAACAAAACAAATCTTTCTTTCACAAGTTGCATATAGAAATAGACACTGGAAAATTCAGTAGCGGTTAAAACCATGCTTTATACATAAAACAGGGGTTCTAGGTTCAGATAAGTACAAATATTACACAAATGTCAGGCACTGTGTTCTTAAACCTTGCAAAACATGGCAACATTCTTTGTTCAGGACAGCCTGTGCACCTACAAAGAGTATATAGCACCCCTGGATCTCACCCATCAAATGCTAGTGGTTAGCCTCAATCATTCCAACAACCCCCAAAAGACACCTCCCAACCTCCCCCTAGAGGGAACCTCCATCTGGACCCACTGCCTTAAACACAATCCGACTATCACAGTATAATGTAAAGAACACTTGGGAAACATGCTTTCGAGTTCCAGTTCTATCATCTATAAGTTATGTGGTCACTGGCAGTGAGTTCCCTAAACCTCAGTTTCCAGTGTACTAAACAGGAAGAAACACTACCTGGGCTCTGAGTTGTAAAAGTTTTAAAAAACATTATTTGAACTTTTACTGGGCAATTACTCTATCCTAGACAATAGGAAAACACAAATAACTAATATACCATACCTGTCCTTAAACATTTTACCATTCAGTAGGTCAGACCTAGGTAAACTATAACTACAATATAAAGCAGAATGACAGGCATTAAATAGAAATTCAAGTAATTGATTATGGGGGCCTGGAGAAAATGAGTAACTATGAAAATCAGGACATCTTCATGGCATAGGACACTGAAAGACTCTTGACAGGTAGAGAACAAGACACAAATTATTAAAAAAAAAAATGAAGTCCAGGCATAGGCACGGAGCATGAAAATATAGCTTGGTTCAGAGAAGAAAGGTAAGGGAAAAAATACATTAGAGACTGGAAGGGCAGGAAAAATTAACGCTGTAAAAACATTTCAGGATCAGTTCATGGAGGAATCTGAATGCCATTCAAATGCTTTGAGTTTTATTGGGCAAGAGAACTTTTTAGAAAACTGGTGTTTATGTGGCACACCTGATTTTCAAATAATGCTGAATAATGGCCAAAAGTGATTGCAGACAAATGCAAATTTTCATTAATGAGATCCCTGACATTAATATATATGTTCTTAAAATGCATAAATAAGCAAAAAGAGCCTCAGTTCAGTTCAGTCACGCAGTCATATCCAATTCTTTGCGACCCAAGAGTAAAAAGCCTACCCAAGAGTAAAAAGGAGTTTCCAATTTCATTCATTGCATAACAAAAACATTACTAATGTACTGAACCTGGGACCTTAAAAGATCTCAAGATAATCTCCTATTCGTTTTTTATTTTCTCTCAAACAAGTGGCAGAATTTCATAAAATATATTTAGCGTACTTCATGTCAACCCTGGAAGACAAGAGGTAAACTGCAGTATTACTGACCAAAATCTTTTTACTACAGGGAAACGGAGGAACAAACAGAATAAATTACAGTATGGTCACAAAATAAACTATTATATTTCCTAGAACTTTTAATTAAAGGCTTGAAGCCCACGTTTCATCCTTTATTCTTCGTACCATCTGAATACTAGAATTATCTTTTATTACCGTCTTAACAGCAAAAAAAAAAAAAGATGCGAATCAAATTTCAAGATCACTTCCTCGATTAGGTATTGCCACCAAAAATATCAGAGTTTAAATTCTGCCTCCTGAAATTAAGATACCTGCGAGACCTGCAAGGTTCAACCAGTAACCCAACCTCCCCAAAAACAGACAGCTATAAATAGCAAGCCAGGTCAGGAATCCTAAACCCACTTTTACTCTGAATATCTGGCAGGTCAGAGGTGTGTTTGTAATACAGACTTTGCGGATGTGGTGATGGGAAGATGTCGTAAGAGGCCCAGAACAGTGCTATCTACACACTCACGACCGCAAACTTGAAATCCAAGGCTTTCCTCCTCTGCCCCTCCCCGCATTGCATCACAAACCAGGAGACTCCTGACAGGCCTGTGCAACGATTCTCCGACCTCTGCCTGAAAATGCGGTGCTTTGATGATGTCCAGGGCCTCAGTGAACAGTGAGAACACCGATGTAGCTAAACGCATCTCAAAATTTCTCCTCTCCAGAATCTAGGGCCTGGTCCAAAAGGATTGTTAGACACAGTTTCCACGACTACTATTTTGTTTTTCACACAGATATTAACAACCCCCAAGTCCCCTTCCTCGGCCTCTCACCACCCTCTCCCCTCTACGCCTGGTGGACGTTCCGGACGAAAGGAGCCAGAACAGGGAGGTCAGAGCCAAGGATCCAGGCCGCAAGGCCGTCCGGCGCGGGCAGGGGTCCCGGCAGCCCAGCCCCCGGAGCCGGGCAGCCCAGGCTTGGCCTCGGCCAACGCGCCGCCGCCGCCTATCAGCGGAGCGTAGGGGCGGGGCTGGCTGGCTCCGCGGCGGCTCCGCCGGCGGGCGGGGAAGGGTGGGGGGGACCGACCGCCGCGCAGCTCCGGCCGCCGAGCGCAGACACCGGGCCCGGCTCCCGAGGGCGCCAGCGCGGCCCCGGGGAGTGCCAGGAGCCGGAGGGCGCGCGGCCTGCCGTTGGCCGCCTGGTCCGCCACCCTCGGCACCCACCCGCCCCCGACGTAGGGTCCAAGCCCCCGGGAAGATGGTGTCCTGGATCATCTCCAGAGCCGTGGTGTAAGTGCCGCTCACGGCGCCCCTCCGCCCCCACGCGAGGCCCGGGAGGCCGGGGGTGGCGGCAGGGGCCGGGAGGGGAAGGGAAGGCCCGGGCCTGGGCGGGGTGGGCTGGCCCGGCCTCGGGCCTGCCCGGGGTCTGGGAGCCCTCGGCCTCCTCACCCTAGTCCACGTCGCTGCGGGGCTCCCTGCGTCGGCCGAGGGCCCGGCTGCTGCGGTGCGGCCGGACTGCGTGCGGCTCGTCGGCCCTGCTCCCGCGGCGCTGGGTGGGCAGGCGCGCAGGGCAGGCGGCGCGCGCTCCCTGCTCGCTCTCCCCGCGCTGCGCGGCACCGCCCTGCGGGCCCGGGAGCGGCGCGCCTCGCGGCGGCGCCCTGCGCAAGCTCCGCAGAAACTAAGCGCGGGAGGCTCGGCGATCCTCCTGAGGATGCCGTGGCAGCGCCGAGCCTTTGTATCGTGTGTTGCGGGTCTCCCAGGGCGGCTGATTGCCTCTCGGTCACGTGTGGTAGGAGGAGAGATTTGTCTAAAAATCCGAGACCGCTCCCAGCTCAGATCCCTAGGAAGGGCCTCAGTTGCCCCGAGATTTACAGCTTATCGAGAAAGGAGCTCATTATTGAATGGCGACACTCGCCTGCTCGAACGGATCCCAGAATTTGGCCCTGTCGTGGTGGAAATATTTGCAAAGGGATTGAGAGGTTGCAGGTGCCTGTGGCCTTTGTTCAGATTATCCATTCATTTCATTGTGCTTTTACCACTGTTACAGGCCCATAAGAAAAAAATTAGTTGAGTTGTAGGGTTTACTCTGTATAGATTGGACTGCAATTTAAACTGCTTTCCTCCAATCTTCTTGATTTAACCCCCACCAGGAACACGAAAGTCACGAAGTAAACAACAGTGACGTAGATATAGCCAGGGGCCCATGGATTCATTAATCATGATCTCTGTAGGAGTATTATCTCTGTACCTTTCTGAAATGTTTTCAGGTGGCAGGCTTCTCCGATTAACTTTATAATGTGGAAAAAAGAACATTGCCAGATTGCTCATTTATTTCTCAATCAGAATTAGCTAATTTTTCTGTTGTTTGGTGTTTTGGTTTGTTTTGTTTTGTGTTTGTTTTGTTTTTTTCTTTGAGAGTGAATCAATCGCTTGGTAGCCCTGTTTAACTTGATTTACAATAGCATTCAAGATGTGTCATTTGATTGTCTGAATGCAGTTTTTTTCTTCCTCGGTATAGTTTTTAGTTTTATCAGAGGGTCCCATGTTCATTTGTACAAAACTAAAAATCAAGAAATAATACCACAGATGTCTTAAGATTTTGTTTTTTAGTTTAGTTTTGTTTTTTTGGGGGGGTTGCCTTTTGGGGCCTTCTTTTAAGTCTATGTTTTCAGAACACAGACTTAACTTTCCTGACCTAGTAGATGTCTGCCAACTGTTGTGTCAGTGCCTGGAAAATCAAGTATCCAATTAAGACATTGTCATGTTGTTTTGTTTGTATTTTGTTTATTCTCGGGGTTCCTTTAACCAGTTCTTTAACTGACAGAGAATTGTGAAGCACTCATTTAATTTGCATTCATCAAAGTCAGATTTTTGTTTTTGATCATTAACTATGAGTATGAATGTCTTCTATGTGCTATCTAGAACACAAGGGGTAATCATATATGACCAATCTTAATGGAACTGACAGCTGCAATACCAGATACCTGCAGTGCAGGGTGAAGTCTTCTAAGAGTTACACTGCAGAGCTATAGGGTTTAGACAAGGAAGGGATTGTATCTGGTTGGAGAATCAGAAAAAGCAAGGGAGATTGCATTTGAGATGGGCCTTCAAAGACGGTCTGACTTCAGACAGCCGAAGATGAAAAAGGAGAGGATTCCAGATAAACGGGTCACTGTGAGCCAAAGAGCAGAGAAGGGAAAGCCCAGATTAGTTACGGAGGACTTAGACACTGGGGAGAGAAAGGTGGAAAGGCAGGCGGGGGAAGCCGTGGATTTGCTTCAGAAGATCCCGTGCCTTAGGCGAGATGGCTGTGAATGGTGAGACTCTGAAGATGGGAAGGAGTTCCCTAACTGGAGAGAGGATTAAAGCGTGCAGTGCTAGAACTTACAGAATTAAAAGTGCAAGGCAAAGGAAAGCGAGATAATAGGGAGAAAAGGTCATGAGAATGTATTTATCAAGTGTCAGGAAGTTTATCTCTTGAGCCCTTGAACTATTAGCATATTAAAAAGCACACTTGCCAGGAAATATAAGCAGCATTCTATTTTGTCCCTCTGCCTCTCAGTTTCTCTAAGCACTGCACGCTTTCTACTCCCTCGATCACACTGTAAGAGTAAGAACATGAAGGATCAACCCCAGGGTTTATACAAACTTGGAAACCTTTTCACAGGCACAAACAGAATTTACTACATTGTTTCTAATCCTCTGGAACAGCCAGCTGGTCCTGAGCCTGCAGAAAGATCAGACAGTTCTCTCCATATGGACCTTGGGCGATATGAGCGACGAACACAAGGACCCTCTTTCACCTGAGCTCCCTGAGTGCCTGAGCGCTTTCTCCCTCGCCCAGCGGCAGACCCTTGCTAGGAGGAGCACTGACTTGGTCATCAGCCCTGGATGCCAGTTAATGGACCCGGGCAACATACTAAATCTGTGTTTCATCATCTTAAAAATGATTATAATATTTACTACTTAAAACTGTTGTCAATATTTAGTTTAACTAAAACACACCAGATGTGCCTGACAGTTGTTATGCACTTAAACTTAGTATATAGATAGGTTTTTTGTTTTTATGAGGGAGAGAAGTTAGATGGTGTAGCAAGAAATATCACTGGACTGTCATCATCGTTAATGTTATCCTTGGAAACCTGGAATTTAGAACTAGCTTTGGTTGTATTAACCAGATGCACGACCTTGAGTCAGTTCTGATTATAGCCCTGTTTCTTACTCTGTAGAGGCAGAAGGGTCTGGTAATCTCCAAACTGTTTTGTCAGCTGTAGCATTCTGTGATGCTTTAAGGATTTTCATTTTCTTTCCAGTCTGTTTAAAATTAGCTTGCTTTATTTTTACAGGCAAAATTGAAAGGTTAGTTAGCAATTATTAAGTGATAGTAATCTGAGACTACCAAATGATATTACATGTAATATAATACGTGAGACCCATAACCTTCTAAAACATGATTCTTAGAGGTTGAGGGAAATCCCATTTTTCTGATTTGTGTCTACAGCATAGCTGGTCATTATGATCAGGACTGAACGCGAATTGTCTGAACTCAAATATCAGCTGTCCCATTTAGTATTGGCTGCTGCCTACCCCATTGGATTAAATGTGTTCATATACATAATGTTCATTCTCCTCCATCAGGTAGATAGTAAGTATTCAGTAATGTTAGTAGTTATTATCAGAACAAGGAAGAACATATTCACCTACAGTCTGTGTACTGAACATTTAAACTATTTTCAGTTTACATTTTTCTTTGTCTTTCTGTGTAGGTTACATAGTGGTAATTAACAGTATAGTAAAAGTAGTTTTTATACTGCCATTTATTGTTATATGATAAGCATCTCCTACATTGCTCTGAAATCTTATTTTATATCTTCCATTTGCTCAGGTCACTATTCAAATTTTCATAGCCATTCTTTGATCTTTTAATTTTCCTTTTAGATCATTTCTAGTATCTCATTATCATAGGTAATGCTATAATGTAATTATAATACTGAATTGGATATCATTTATATATATTTTTAAAGTGTTTCCTTAGGATAAATATCCAAGAGGAGTATTTCTGAATCAAAGGTTATGAATATTTTTGTGACCTTTAATGTCAATGTCCAAATTGCTATCCAAAAAATAATTAATATTTTACACTACCACCAGCAAGGTATGAGTACTGTCTCTATCACAGTGTAGCCAGATTGGGAAGGTTTAATTTTTTTTAATGTTTTCCTAGTGAATATAACATTGTTTTCTTTTATATTTTTCTTATTAGCATTAATATTTGCCCTAATATTTATTAATTATGTCATATACAAATAATCTATGTACTTTACCCATTAATCTCTTGCCTACTTAATAATTTACTTGTTTGTCTGAACTCCTTACCTAATAAATTAACCTTAAGTCCTATTTGATGCAAGTGTGTTTCTAAATCTAACAATACTTCTCTTTAGTTATTTTAAGTTATCCAGAGAGTTTATAGTTTTAATGCAGTTTATAGTTCAACTTGTTCATTTTTTATTTTGTGATTTTTTTTTCACTTCTAAATATAAAATATTTACTCCAAATATTTAATTAGAACTATTTTCTCATGTAGAATTTTTAGATAAATTTAGAGACTTCCCTTTAAATTCCATAAATCTGCATTTCCCTTTTTACATCTTAACACATTTTAATTTTCCTCTTACTGTAATTTTATTATCTGGCAGTAGTAGTAAAACCTCAGTTCTCTTTCTTTAATTGGTCCTCTTCCATTGTATTTAGTGAGTATCTTTAGAGTCTAAATTACATACCTTAAAAACCATACTCCAGTTATTTCCAACATCATCCGTTTTCCCTCTCCACTTTATCTTTCTTGTCAACATGCAAACATACTATTATTGCTCCCATCTTAAAAAAAAAAAAACCTCTCTCTTAGTATGCTCTACTTTCCATCACATTTACCTATTTCTCTTCCTCTCATTAAAGCAAAAGACTCCTCAAAAGAACAGTCTACATACACCCTCACCACTCATCCTTTGGGTCACTCTTGAACCCATACCAATTAGGCTCTACCATCAACTCCACCACTAAAATTACCCTTCCATAGGTTGGCAGTAGCCTCCACATGGCCAAAAGGGTTGGTCCTCTTCTGACTTATCAGCAGCTTTTGATTCAATTGCTCTTTATCTCCTTGAAATACTTCCTTCACTTGGATTCCCAGAAACCTTGCTTGCATTGTTTTTTTCTTAAACTCACAGGCCACTCCCTACTTAGTCTCCCTGGCCACATTCCTCCACGTGCCCTGAATTATTAAAATT